CCACACTGGACTTGCAGCAAGGAGGCCTTTCCTGGTGCCCTCATGGATCAGCCTGGATTCACATGGAGCAAAAGGCCCAGTTTGAGGCTCCTCCTGGTGTTGCTGCTCCCGGAGGGGCAATTGTCTCATGGGGAGCCCTGGCTGGAGCAGCCCAAGCTCTGCTCTCTGCAGCCTGTCTGCATGAACTGCAGCAGGGCTGGGCTGTGTTCCCTGCATCTCCCGAAGCCCCAGGGGTGTCCAGGGGGAGCAGGGATGGAATGTCCAGGCCTGGCTGCCAGCGTGGAGCACCCCTGGAGGAGGGAGGATCCCGTGCTGTCACATGCAGCAGCCAGGACATCTCAGACACAACCAGCCCTCTGTGAGAAACTTGTTCCAGCTGATGAAAATGCTCTAAGATGTGTTTTTGCCTGGAGAAATTGGGAGAGTGTGTATTTACTTGTATTATAAAATGTTCATTTTAAACATACATGCTCCAGACTGTTTAATATTTTTTATCCCTGCAGCAACTGTCGTGGCAAACAACTTCCACAACTGGAAAAAAAACCCTTAGCACTTGTTTTTATGGTTCACATTTGCCAAATAAGTCTCATAACTTTGTCAGTGCTGTCCAATTATCTGTTTCTTTATATCTGCAGTGAATATCTTATGCATTTGTGCCAAAATATTAGAGAGGGAGGGGAGAAAGTGATAATCAGTTTCCTATGGAAATCTTTTTTTTTCTTGTTTTTGTTATCTATGAAAGACAAACAAGCTGGATGTGGCTGTGGGAAGGACTGACTGGGATGGACTTGAGGATGGTTTTGATAAAGCTTTAGTCCTGTAAACTTCAGTGGGAGTGCCCTGATCCACCGGGGGAACTGATTGGATCAAAGACCCTCCAGGAATTTCCAGGCACCTCCTTTTCCACCTGCTCGTTCCTCTGAGACCTCTGCCAGCCTCTCGTGGTTTGCCAAACCCCACCACTCCCGGAGCTGAGGGGACCAGATGCCAGCAGAACAGATCCCAGAGGCCACTGCTGCTGCTTGAAATGCAGATGAAGGGATGGTTCGGGGAGTTTCCTTCCAGAAACGAGGAATTCTCTTGTTTAAACATTTGAAATGTAAATACTTAAATGACTCTCAGTGGTGGACGTGCTCTGGTGACACAGGACTTTGGAATATCCTCTGGCTGGGTCTGGACTGGAGATGTTCTGTGCAGCACAAGCAGCACTGGAGGCTTTTAGGGTGTTTGATTTGTTAAATTTTACAATGTGTCTGATCTGAGTTACGCCTCTGACTGCACAGACTGGGGCAAGAAGGGGTCTGTATAAAATAGGATTTTTTTGGGCCATTTACAAAGCAGGTCTGTTGTCACCATGGATTGGTTCAGATGCAGGTTTCTGTCATAGCTGCAAAGAAAAAATTATCCTGAATTTTGTAGAAATATTTGACTTTTGGTTGTTTAAATGAGAGAGGAAAAGATCTGCTCTGTAAAATGACCCCAGGTTTCCTCCATGAGTGTCTTATTTTGGTGACAAATGTTGTTGTTGTTGTTGTCCTCATAATCACAGAGGAAGTTGGACTCCGGTGCCTCCTGCATTAAGCACAGAAATGTCCTCTGCAATTCCAGGGGCAGGGATTACAGGTGATGCTGTGAGCAGGAGCCCAGCCTGATCCAGAGGCCACGAGTGGGAATAAATCCCAGCTTTAATACGAAATCTGCACACAGAGTCACCTCCTCAGCCAACCTGGACTTCCACCGGGAACCAGAGCTGCAGCTCCTTGCTAAAGGATAATTAATTGCTGACCATTATTAATTGAGGCCTTTTGAAACCCAGGATTCAGATGATGCATAAAAACTTGGGTTATTCTCCCCTCATCATCCCTTAAGTAAAATGACTTTCAGTGGGAAATGTGAGCTGGCCCAGCAGTGCAGTGAGCTCGAGGGGAGATTATCTCCACTGCAGCATTAATTTCCTCTCTCCCCTTTGTTTGCTGCTCCCTGATTTGTAAAAGCTCTTGGTGTTCTGGAGTGACAGAAGAGTGCTGGGCCCTGGCCCGGGGAGGGGATGAGGCTGGGCTGGGGTGAGCCCAGGAGTTGTGTCCACGCTGCCCTGAATGGTCACAGCTGCAGGGGCTGCAGATGGAAGTGAATTCCTGTTCCTGTGGCCTCCAAGGACAGGGAGCAGGGGTTGGGCTGGGATTTCTGGAGGCAGCAGGGCCCTGAGGGCACGGGAGGCTTTGTTTGATTTCTCCTAGAACCTGATTAAAGCAGCTTTGGTGTGGAGCTCAAAGGGATGGGAGCAGATTGCAGCTCCAGGCTGGAATATCCTCTCATTTCATGGCAGGCTGGGCTCGTTTCACAGGATTTCACCCATTTTTGTTCCTCCAGAGTCAGCAGCAGGACCTTTGACTCTTTGATGTGGCTGCACCCAGTGCTTTCCAGGCTGTGGTGATCTGTTTATTGTTCATGTATTGAATTGCAGGTTGTATTTTGTGTTAAGCTTGTTTTAGGAGTAATCCAGTGCTGTCCATTTGAATTAATCTCCAGCAATCAGTGTGCATATGCACAAAGATGGAGAAATCCCTTCATAAGGCGTTTCCCAGGAGCTCTGGCTGCCCCTGTGTGCCAGGACAAGGCTGAGGGAGCCCCTGAGTTACTCACAGCTTCCTCCCCATTGGATCAGCGTAGTTGAACCCTGCAGGGTGAAGGATGTTCTGGACTCAGCTCAGGCAGCAAGTGGTGACACCTGTGCCTTGAGCTGCTTCCTGACTGGAAAAGCAGGAAGAACCCAGCCCAGTGAAGGATTTCAGCCACATCCCACAGCATCCAGGAGCTCTCCTGGGTCTCTGAGGTACTGGTGAGGCAGGAGGATGGAATTTCATGGCTGTGCTGAGCTGGGATGAGAACCAGGCCCTCTCTTCTCTAGTGGTGGCCTGACCAGTGTGGTTGAGAAGCTCAATGTTTTTTACTGTGTATCTGCTTTTGTATTTATGTGTCTTTCTCAAATATTCAGATGAATCCAATATTTAATTTTTAGCAGAAGGGGCAATTAAGGACTCAGAGTATTAAATACTCCATCTGCTCCTTGCTGACGATTGCTGGAAATGAGGAGTTGATGATGTGAGAACAGAGCTGAGCACAAAGTGCCCCGAGCCCTTGGGAGCCGCGGTGCTGCCTCTGCACCGAGTCAGGGTCCCAGACAGGCCCTTTGTGCTCCTGGGGCTTTGATGAGGCTTTAAAAACCAAACCCTGTTCCTCCACAGCTGCTTGGCTCATCTCGTGCCCCTGCTGGAGCTGCTTGGCTCATCTTGTCCCGCTCCAGAGCTGCTTGGTTCCCCCTGTGCCCCCTCCAGGTTCCTCTCCTGCTGGCTGCAGCCCCGGGGTGTCTGTGCAGCCCTGGCCCTGCAGGGATCCCCAGGAGCTGTGGGAGCTGTGAGTTCCTCCCTGCTGGTCCGTGCCCTGCTGTGCCCCCTCCTGCTTTCCCTGCAGCGTTCCTGCGTTCGTTACTCCAACTGTCCCATGTACGCCCTCCCCTTTCCATGTGGAACTGTAAGGTCTGATTTTGACATTTTAATAAACTTTGATTTGAAAACTGAGGCTCGTGAGCTAATCAGGCTGTTGGAGGAATGGATTTAAGGGCACGGATTGACAATTTGGGTGTTGCCATGATGGTAATTGGGACACAGCAGCTCTTTAGGTTTGTGCAGAGAAGGTCGTTCCCAGGAAAACGCACAAGAGCTCAGTGACAGGTAAGACCCTCGTTCTTTTTACAGCTGGGACTGTTTTGTTCAAGAATTTAAAGCCAAATATATAAAAAATAATTTAAAAATTGCATTTAGTTCTTTTAATGGGACTGAAGGGTGAGCAGAAGTGGAGTTCTGAGCTCCGAGGATTTACTGTGCAATTGCTGGAGAAGTCAGACACAGCTGAGCGTTCACGTGTTCAAACTGCCCCTGGAATTCCTCCCTAGGGCTGGAGCTGGGGCGCTGTTCCCAGCTCAGGGGAGCTGCAGAGGAGCATTCAGCGCTCCGCCTGCAGTGTCCTGTCAGGAGCAGACCCTGAATTCCTGCCGTGTTTCCATGGAGGAGCTGCAGTTCCGTGCTGCAGACACGAGTCCAGCCAGCAAATCCTGGAGAAAAACCTTAAGGCACAGAGACTCCACCTTCCCCCCTCCCTCCCTGGAGGGCCGTGCCATGGCTGTGCTGCGTTCCTGGTGGAAGTTTTCCTGATGAACCCCCTGGAATTCTGGCTGTCACTGCTGAGGGGCAGAGTTCCAACAGCCCATGGGTGAGGGTGGGCAGGGCAGGTGCCATCCCGGGGGACAGTGACAAACCCCTGGCGTTCCAGGGAACAGAGCCCCGGGAAGGAGCCAAGGCACAGCGCGATCCGTGCTGTGAACTCCTCACGGCCCCCTGAGGCTTTCGCTGGAATTCTCTGCTTTGGGGTTGTTTTTCCTGACAGGATTTACGAGAACACTTTTTCCACTCGGGTTTCCAACCGTGTGGTAATGAAGGGTCTGGTCCAGGCTTTGTGCTGGGCTCGCCAGAGCTCGAGCAGGGGATCCGTGCGGAGCTGGGGGCTCTGCTGGTGTCACCTGGATCCCAGTGTCCCAATCCTCCCCACTGGAAACGGGCGGTGGGAGCAATTACAAACCTCAAAGCCTCAGCCAAAATAAAGAGTGACTTTACCATTGCCTGGGATGTGTGGCCCAGGCCAAAGCTGGGTGATGGGGCTGCCTGAGTGGCAGGGAAGTCTCTGCCATCCCAGAGCTTCAGTGCAGCCTGGCCTGGCCAGGAACACGGAATGCTGGAGCTGGAAATGCCAGCCCAGGACTCTGGAACTGGAGCTCCCACCTGGAGCAAGGATGTCAAAGCTGGAGCTGTCCCTGCCCCTGGCAGGGTAGGACTGGGTGGCCTTTGAGGGCACTTCCAACCCAAACCACTCTGGGATTCTCTGGAAGCCAACTGGGAATTCTTTTGTTGTTGCTATACAAAGAGAAACTGAGTGACAGACACAGCTTTGCTTTTCCACTAATGCCCCTTTTATTCATTTCTGTAACTTCTTATTTTGTAAAGAAATTCCGTAGCCAAAACCAAAGGGTCTCTTCAGAAAAACCCCAAACAACCCACAGAAAAAAATTTAATCACCAGCAAAGTAAATCTTGATTTTAAACCACAGCACAACAACCTCAAAGGATTACTAAATTATTTCCCAGTGTCTCCAGCCACACTTCCTGCATCCATGATTTGTGCCCCTACAAACAAGACCCATATTTACAATAAATCATGTTTGAAAGAGTTCTGAGTATGGGAATGAGCTGCTGCTCCTCATAAAAAGGCAGCAAAGCACTGGGTTTTAATTGATATGATCTCATTAAATTTAAAAACACATCTCTATCACGTGTCTGAGGAACGGGTTTATAAAGTGTCCAAGTCCCTTGTTTTCTTCCCCTGCCTCCACGCTATTCCCTTGGCACTCTGGCCATTTATCACCATTGCACAACAAGGATTTAAAAAGGGCAGAAAGAATCTTAATCTCCCAAAATCCAACGTGGAAACCATTCCCTGCTTGGAATGAGCCACCTTCAGGTCTGTGTTACATTCAGTGTGCCGGGAAAAAATGTGGAGAATGGGAGAAGGCAGAGTTCCCCCCTTGGGGAGGTGTCTCTGGCAGCTTTCCTTGGCTGGCCCTGTATTCCAGAATTCTTCCCAAACCAGGTGTTTCCTGCTCCTGCTTCAGCTGAGAAACACTTCCCAAACTGCCAGGGAGGCTTCAGTTCTTGTCTTTAAATGCTGCAGTTTTCACCCAGGAAAGGATTCCCAGCATTCCGAGAAACCTTTGCTTCATCATTAAAAGGGAATTCACTGTGGAAGTGCCTGCAGAATGTAAACCCATCAAAAATCCATGGCAAACCCGTGTCCTGGGAATTGGGAATTCAGGGGACATTGAAAAAGTTCATTTTGAAATTCCTGACTGAGGGTGCTTAACAGGGTGGATTTTCAGATTGATAAGGAAAAATTCTTGGGGCCAGACTCTTCCATCTGGGAATCTGCTGGATCCTCTTCCCACTGATGCACTGCTTGTGTCTGCAGCAGAGGAGCCAGGGTGGCATCTCCCCTTCCTCCTCACTCCTCCCCAGGCTCCACCTTCCTGCCGTGTCCGTGACTCCGGAGGGTCTGTGCTGCTGTGGAAGTGATCCCAGGAAAAGGGAATTCCTGCTGGACACGCAGGAGTGCAGGCACTGAGCACACCCAGGGCAGGAGGGTTGGGGATGCTGAGCACAGAGCTCCCTGGGCAGCTCTGCGCTTTCTGCCCGGCCTCGCAGGAGGTTTGGGCAGGGAATTCCACCCCTGGAGCAGAGATCCGGCATTTCATCCCTAGTTTAGTTCCTAATGGGAATCCAGGGAGTGAGGACAACACCTGACATTCCAGGGAAGGCCCCCATCCTTCCACAGGCAAATGCCAAGCAGAATCCGAGCCTGGGGCCACTTGTAATGGCTTTGGCACTTGGCAGGACAGAGCTCCCAGCCCTGGCACAGCAACTTCCTCCTCATGGCTCATCCAGATCCGGTTCCCAGAACTGGGAAAAGCTCCATGAAACCACCCAAGAGCCCCACAGCTGAAAAATGGAGTTTGGAATTCAGGAGTCACTTCCCAAGCCCCAGCCCTGTGTGCAGAGATAACTGGGAGCACATTTGTTTATTTAAACCCCAGAGAGGAAATCATAAAAATGTTCATTTGAAAAATGTAAACTCATCCCTATTTCCTTGAACCACACACGTGTCACCTTCCAAAGTCCTCTGAGAGAGGAGAAAGGCCAGTCACACAAAGCCTCTGGAGCCAGGAGATGGAATGTGGAATACGGGGAATGCTGTCACCAAGGGGAGCAGCTACAGCTAAAGGGGATTTTTGGCAATGAACACTAATTCAGGGAAGGATCATTCCTTTAGGATTGCTCTGGCACTTCCAGCTACAGAGGAATTCAGTTTTCTTCATCCGAGGAGAGACCTTCGATCTCATCCCTGTCTCCTCCAATCGCCATCCAGAAGGCTTTGGCCACCTACAATGGCAAAAAAGATGGGAAAAGGAGAGAATTCCCATCAAATGACTGAAGGTTTTGTACTTCCCATCCAAAGAGCAGAAACTGAGCAGCAGCTGAATCTGGCAGCCAGGTCTGTAAATGTAACACATCCTCTCTGAGGTTAAGGAATTTCAGCAACACAGAGATGATGGTTCAGGTCATGGGAGGCACCTGTGATACAAAACCTGTGCTAATTAAGGCTTCATTAAATCTTCCAGGAGATCCAGACTTTTCCATTGACTTGTGGAAGCTGGCCAGCACCCCCAGGGCTCTCAATTCAGAATTCAGAAAGGGGAAAGTTGTTTTTTTATGGCAGTGGGGTGGAATGAGCTGATCTTTAGGGTCCCTTCCAACCCAAACCATTCCAGGATTTTATGCTTTTCTGATAATTCAAACTTCCAGGTAATTCAATTTTTGGGAGATACCTAACAAGTCTTCCCTAGGACTGTGTGGTTTGTTCTCACTACTCTTAATTCAGGAACCCTCCAGGAGCAGGAACTGTGGCTTGGAAAGAACAAACCCATTTTACTGATTTCACTCACCTTCTCTGCGTGCAGCTTCCTCTGTTGGTGAGGCAGCGTGGCAGCTTTGTCTGTGGGGAAGGAGAGGATTTGGGTTGTGAGCAGGGACAGAAACTCCTCCTGCACCTGGGTTTGGGAACTCCCAGAGCAACATTTGCTGCTTTCAAGAGCACAATCAAGATGAAGGGGAAATGAATGGAAAGAGCAGTTACTTCTAAAGGACTTCAGGCAGGAGAACAGGAGTTTCACAGCTTCCCAACTCACTCCTGGCTGGTTTTCTTTGGTTTTCAGAATGGTTTTGTCTGAGCCCCTGGAGGAGGTGCCAGAGCTCAGGCCCGTCTCCCCTGGTGCGTTACCTTTCATTTCTTTCAGCTTTGAGAAGAGCCTTTCGAAGTTCTCCAGGTCCCCATCCCTCGTGGTCAGGCTGGCCAGCTCCTGGATGTCCATGTCCAGCATGGGATCTGAAATACAGCTTGGTTGAAGGGAAATTATTCTGGTTTCTCTGCAGAAAACCAGGATTTTAACAGCTGCAAATCCCATTTGCAAATTCCAATGTCACAGGAGAGAAAGAAACATTTCATTTACTGATTGCTCATACACATAAATCATGGCATTGTTACTGTGGTGATTAATTTTATGGAATAAATCCTTCCCTGTGAGAGAGGTGAGGCCCCGGCACAGAGCAGCTGTGGCTGTCCCTGGATCCCTGGAATTGTCCAAGGCCAGGTTGGATGGGGCTTGGAGCTGCTTGGGATAGTGGGAGGTGTCCCTGCCATGGCAGGGGTGCATTGGGATGGGATTTAAGGTCCCTTCTAACCCAAAATATTCCAGATTCCATGTGAGCTTATCCAGTATTTAAGATTTCTTGCTGATTCCAGGATGCTCTGTCCAGAAACAGCCAGAGAGTGAATCAGAGTGATGAGCTGTGCTGGGACCACAGCAAACACTCAGCTCTCACACACAGCTGGAAAGGAATTCCCATCCCCTGGAATGCTGCAGTGATTTCAGGAGTCCCCTGGCTCTGGCAGCGCCTCAGTTTCCCTGAGCAGGAGCCAGGGGCTCTGTGGGCCTGTCCCTGCCAGGTGTGGATGCTCACCTGCAGCACTGTCAGGCTCCACGCTGTTTGTGCCAGCTCCATCCTCTCCACCATCGGACTGGGATTCTTCCCTGTCTTCTGGGGATGGGTTGGACTGCCAGGAAACAAAGATATTTCAGTATCCAGTAATGCATGAAAAACATCAGCAGCAAATCAGGTGCTTCCTGCTTTTCCTTCAAAACCTTGCACTTTATTTCCAAGTGTTACTGCAAAACCTGTGCCATGAAAAGCCACTTCTGGCACTGCATGAAGAGGTTTCAGGATGGATTTGTTGGGGTATTTTTTCAAACAACACCATGAAATGACAGGTTTTGTTTTGCCCAAGAGGGGATAATTTGGATATAATCAAACCCATCTTGAATGGAGCTTTTAGTGCTCTTTCCTGTGGCTCTGTGGCACAGTGGGAAGGTCCCAGCCACCCCCCATGGATGAAGGGAGGGCCTGAGCAGAGCAGGGACCAGGAATTACTGGAATTACTGTTTACTTCTGTCTCGGGGGTCTCTTCACAGCCACGGCTCCTGTTTGCTCCTGCCAAGGTGCTGAGGAGACCAAAGCCCTGGGTCCTGTCTGCAAAGAAAGCACAAAGTGCAAAATTACTGCAAGTACTGGGACTGGCCAGCTGGGACAGGGAGTATTTCCCAGCACCACAGAAAACTGCGCTTTTGAAACACCTGAAAATAGATTTTAAGCAGAAATTTCACATCATCTCTAAGCTTTAAACTGTATTAGCAACATTTGCTGCTAAATATTCTCCCCAAAGAAGAGATGTGTGAGCCACAGGAGATGTGGGATCTTTTTAAAGCTTGTTGGAAGTGTCTGCTCCGTTGGGATCTGAGCTGGTAAATTCCAAACGAGTCAGCTGGAAAATGCAGCAGCAGAATTTGCTGTTCCTGGTGCCCAGGTTTAACCTCCATGGGAAGCAGCACCAGGTTTGAGGCTGGATTCAGGAAAACGAGAGCCTTTCCTCACACATGGTCTGAACGGGCTGAGCACGACAATGATGGCAAAGAAAATTGTTAAATATTTAATTCAGAATTCCTGGGTGGATTCATCCATCAAATCCAGGGTTTCTTCTCACTGCAAGGTGCTCTGGGCTCTCCCCACTGCTGGCCCAGGGTGTACCTCAATGCTGTTTTAAAACCCAACCTAAAAAGTGATTTCAAACGTAAACAGTCATCTAAGATAATAAACGTGGTGCAGTATTTTTAATTTAAACTGGCTATATTTTTAAACCTGTTTTATATAAAAATATGTGCATAATGGGTGATATGATGAGGTGTTTTTTACTAAGTCAGATTTTTCTAAGTCAGTTTACTACTCAATACAAACTGGCCTTGCACTGAGTAGTAAATATCTGCTGTTACACAAGGCACTCAGATTTTTTTCTGCAAACCTTTGTATTTTAGTCAACTAAAACTGAAATAATGTGAAGTTATTGTACCAGAAATAGCCAGGAAACAATGATTCCTGCCAGAAGAAAGATTTAATATTGCTTTTTAAAAGAAGTATGTTCTAAATTATTACACTCATGACTAAGCTCTAGACTCAACTGTTGAGGTGATGTCATTTGGATGCTCTGTCCAAATTTCCTTGCCATTTCTCCAGACTCTCATTTTGAGGGGTTGGATGTGTAACTGAGCCCATCCAGCACTCACATAAACACATCTCCACGAGAGAATTCCTGAGCCCCCATTCCCAGTTCCCTGCTCCTGATCTGTTCTGCCCCATCCCTGGCAGGGATTTGGGGCCACTGGCTCTGCTTTATCCCCTTTTGCTGCTTTAACAGATCCCCGGCCCAAGGGGTGGGAAGAAGTGAATCAGTGGAGCTGAAAGAATTCCCTGGAAAACGTTCAGCTGCCCGTGAAGTCCGTCAGGTCAATGAACAGGAACTGGAGGATAAAAGTTTGGGATTTGCACCCCAAATCAAAGCAGCTTCCCCAAGTTTCATGGGGCTGAGCAGAGAGCTGGCTTTGGGGAAGCTGTGAAGATGGACATGGAGCCAATTTCTGAGTCATCTCAAGCAAGGTTGGACACTGCAGTGCAGAATGTCCTGGAGAGAGAACATTCCCACACTGGCAGGGTGGATGCAGTGATCTAATCATGGACCTCGTTCATAGCTGGGATTAGTTTGTCCTGCACAGAAAAATGGCAGTGGCTCCATCTTCCCCCCTCCAACACCACAGAACCTCAGCCAGAATTATTACAAATGTCATCCCCTTCTGAAAAACCTGGAATGTGCAGCAGGGTTCTCTGAACAGCAGCTACTTGTCCCTGGATCTGTGGTTAGGGAGGAGGCAGACACAACACTTGGTTGCAGGCACACCCTTGAAAAACCCTTCCTATAAACTCCTTTTATTGGATGTAAAAGTCATTTCAACTTCTGGGTGCAATTCAGGAAGTGGGTGATGCCTTACACAGTGTTCTTAAGGCAGCAAAGCCAAAAATTAGCTCATCCATTTATTGGAGGAGTCAGTGGCTACGATGGAGCCCAGAGCAGCTGTGGCTGGTCCATCTCTGGGACTGTCCCAGGCCAGGTTGGACAGGGCTTGGAGCAGCCTGGGACAGTGGGAGGTGTCCCTGCAGGGGTGCAGTGGGATGGGATTTAAGGGCCCTTCCCATCCAAGCCATTCCAGATTCCATGCTCTGTGTGGTTCCATAGGAATCACTCATGATGATGCTCTGAGCATGGATTCAGCATTCCCAGATTCCTGTTCCATAGCCAAGTGTTTTCCACTGCCTTTACCTATTATTCCTCCAGTCTGTCTCCAGCTGACACATGGTGATCCTTACACATAAAACTGGAATTAACACATCAAACTTCACAGTTTGTTTAAATGGCCTCCCTAACTCAGGTTAATTGGCTGTGATTAGAGCCAGGCTCATTCCTGGCCCCACCTGAGGTGAGCAGCTTCACCTGGGATCACTCAAGATGGGATTTAAGCAGAAAAGAAGGTGAGCAGCCTCTTCCAGAGGGCTGGAAATGGTTTCTCTTCTTGCCACAGAGGATCTTGCAGGGACAGAGGAGGCAAGAGCAGTTTAATTCTGCTGTGGGGAGGGAAATGTGTTACCTGGAGAATCCCTCACGTTCTTCCAGAGACTGAAACGAGCTCCAAGGCCTGGAGAACTAACTTTGCACCAGCTCCAGACAGGATTTGTTCTGGGAGACTCCTGGTAAGACTGTTTGTTTGGCTTTGAGTAGAGAAAATGCTGCTCTATTTACTCACAAAGCTCCTGGCATTGGTTACTTGATGTAAACTCGTTTCTAATTCAACTGTGTTACATTTAATAATTATTTTTATGGATCTGCACGAGAACAATGCATTTGGTGGTGAGAGGAAAAAAATCTGAAGTTTAAAGTTTTAATTAATAGGTGTGTGAAAAAAACCTGCAGCTTGAGAATTGTGTTGGGGCTTAATGCAATAAAATAATGTGGGGTTTGATGTTTGTGCTTGAAGAAAGTTATTCCTGCTCTGTCTGTAAATCTAAATTCTCAAGGAAACGGGTTTTTGAATTAAGGCAATGTTGTAGAATTAAGGCTACACCTAACAGTCCTGTGAGTATTTGCTACTACACATTTACTCCTGGAGCTCTCTCAAGGTCTCTGACAACCCTTCCCTGCATGGTTTTCAACCAGCCAGGAATTGCAGATGGAAAAGCTAAAGTTGGATTGACATGGCAGCCAGTTTCTAGGATCTGGAGGAAGCTGAAAACAAAAGATATGTTACAGGTTGTAAAAAGTTTTATTTTAAGCAAAGTGAGCTCAATGATTTCCCTTTGAAGGCACAGTCAGGCTGCAGCACCTTCCAGATATAGCTCACTTCCTGAGGGCTTTGTGGTGATACAGCAGCGCTGTGTGCAGAGAAAATCTGGATTTTTCAAGGAGTCTGACCTTTACAGAACACACCAGTGATGTGCAGGAATTTCCCCCCTGTGAAGAACTGAACATGTGACTAAATTCTGCTGTTCTGTACGCTGGCATCTGCCAAATACAGGAAATAAGTTGTTAAAAAAACATTTTTAGCACAACCTGACACCATCTGCCAAAGTTCCCTGGTTCTCTGCAATGGTTACACTGAATCAGACCCCACCTTTACCTGATGGGGAATGACAAGTCCTCAAATAGCTGCATTAAAAAATGGACTTTAATAATTCTCATCCTGCTTTTAGTGAGTTCCAGCAAGCACCTTGCAGACACAGAAATTAACAGCAGCCTCTCTCTCAGTGCTTTAAATCATCCCACAGTTAATTGTTGTGGGAAGGGAGAAGCCACAGCAGTGGGAAACGGGACACCAGGGAGCAGAGAGGTGTTGGAAGGCTGGTGGTGGGATGAGGCTTTGTGAACATGACATTTCTGGCCAAGCACTCTTTAAGAGTTTCATCTTCCTACGTTTTCTGCAGCAGTTTGTGTGATTAGAAAGGTAATTAAAGGTTTTCAAGTAAATGGAAGGATCTACACTTGCAACCACAGCATTTCCTTTTCTGATGAGTCTAAGGCTAAAGTGATTTTTCCAAAATTCTAACTCTACCTGATAATCAGCTTTCTCAGGAAATTATCTGGGGTTGCCCATTTTTTGCACTTTTGTCATACGTTTCTGTGGTTTCCATGTACTTGAGTGGGGTTTTCTGTAGCAAAAACACTCCTTAAATGTTTTGACACGGCTCCTTTGCCAAATCTCATCTCTGCACTTGCTGTTCTCATCCCTAGTTCAAAAATTAAAAAAAAAAAAAACAAAACAAAAATCCCCTACAACAAATGTGGAGTTTAACCTTTACTTCTACACTGAATCATGGATCAGTCTGATAAAGCTGATAATTACAACCTATTTCCTACTAAGAGTTTGGTGGAACAAACTTTGAGTTTTCATTGCAACCTGCAAAATCAATGGAATATTTAACTCAAATTATTGGTAGAGTGCAAGTTAAAATAGAGAGGGAACAGAAACAGGTGCTGGAACAGGAGGAAGTTTTCCACAGAAATCATTTCCTGTGAGGGTGGTGAGGCCCTGGCACAGAGAAGTCGTGGGTAGAAGTGTCCAAGGCCAGGCTGGATGAGCTTGGAGCATCCTGGGACAGAGGATGAGATGAGCTTTGAGGTCCCTTCCACCCCAGAGCATCCCAGGATTCTGTGCTAGATCTCACCCATGGCCTGCGAGTTCACCAGGCCATCAAGGGAGGATGAAAGCCATGCCTGAGCCCTCCTGTTCCCTGGGGAAGGTGCCAGAGTGCTCCAGCTGTGTCTGGAGTGCTCCAGCTGTGTCCAGCTGCTCAGTCTGAGCTCCTGACAACCCCCAGACCCCGAAGGCACCTACCACCCTTCATCACCACATTGGACCAGACGTTGGCATTGAGGGCCTGCACAATGCGCTTCACTCCGGTGGACTCGGGGAAATCATCTGCACCAAAACACAAAGAACAACTCTAAAAACTCCTAAAAATAACTAAAAACCATAATGTGCCTCCAGAGGTGGGGCTGAAGGCCTGTCCCATCTTCTCACAATCACTTTAAATTCTGGTACAAAACACACATTTTTCACCTTTGATTCATGAGAGGCCAAGGAAATGGAAATTAATGCCTCATTTCTTGGGCTGAGCTTCCAGAAATAATGAACTGGGAGCTCAGCACTTTGCAGAGATCTAAATCCTTTTTGTTAAATATTTACCAGGAGGCCTACATTAAGTAACATCTGAGTAAATTTCATAGTAACAGGCAAGGAACTTGAACCTTTTACCCCAAGATCTTTTACAATGCTGTATAGCACAGAAATATATTAGAAAATAGATATTAGAATTACTTTTTCTATTAAAAAGTAAAGAATTTGAGACAACCATTTAAAAATGGTGTGTTGCCTGTAAAAAAATGGAAAGGAATATTGTAAAACTGTCACCACAATATCCATCTCTGAAAGTTCCAGTAATCCTGGGAATTACAGGAACTTGAAAGCCCAGGGAAGCATTATTCAGATTTTAATTTATTTACTGAATAGATCTGATACCACTTTGGATCAAGTCAGTTTTCCCATTTCCTCAGTTTAGTCAGCTTCCCATGTTTGTGCAGGTTGACAAAGGGAAAAAAACAAACCCCCAAACAATCCTTTGAACATAAAATGTGATTGTTTGGAAATTAAAACTCAAGTGACTCAGGGACACGTGCAGTAATTGAAACTGCCTTTAGATATGAATTTAAGGCTGAAATCAGATTTTTTGTCCTCTGTGATGCTGCTGTTTGGTTTGATATCAGAATCATTATCAAGAATCTCAGTTTAGAGCTCTTGTCCTGACTGTGCAAACAACTGACAATGAGTCAAAACAAAAGTTCCAGTTTATTTGAGATGAGCTGCCTGAAATGTCAGAATTTCGAACAGAGATTGGCCCAATGTGTTTACAGCATCTGCTGTGCCTTTTGTAACTCACCCAGAATGTTTGTGGGGTAAATAAGTTACTCACTAGAACACAGTTCCTCCTCTGCATGAGTCACAGTGAATCAACTACCAGATTAAACAGTTTGGAAAGAACGTGTATCCCAATATTCCAAAAATTAACATCCTGAGTTGTTATTATTCCCATTATTTAAATGGTAAAGAGCTTGTTCTTTACAACAATTATTCTATAGGAAAATAACTTGATTTAAGGTTACTATTTTTAAAGCATTTAGTATTTGTTTAGTCTTAGGAGTCTTTACTTCTGATTTTCCCAGTTTCTGTGAATCAAATCTGTGAATCTCCCTCCTTGACTAAAGAAAAAAAGGAAACATTTTTAAAGGATGGTGTGGAGAGACGGAGAGACTTCTCAGCTACTCAAAATCCAATTTTAGTAGGCCTTCAAAGGAGGGAAAGGAGTGGGATGTGTTCTAGCTGAGGATTTTATAGTGAATTATTTTTGGTGATTGCAATGTGCTTGGATAACTTGAAACAGAGCAAATGTTAGTGACTAATTCCTCTCCAGCCTGCAAATGCACTCAGTTATCTCATTTTATTCCAGAGAGGTAAGGTGTAAATGCTTTTTTGTGTCACTGAAGTGAGGAGATAAGGCTGATGCTGATAAGGCTGTCAGGAAATGCACAGTCACTTTTCAAGAGTGGAACATCACACTTCTGACTCTTCTTGCTGGGTTGTATTTTTTTTTTCAAGTTATAAATGTTGGGCAAACAGTGATTCTGAAACTGGTTTATTTCCTGTTTAACAGCTCGTGTTGCTCTGAAATGTTTTTAACAACCTGCCATTTTCAGCCTATCATGTCACTGTTTGTACCAAGATAGTATTAAAATAGTTTTTCAGTCTTTTTAAAACCAGTGTTTTTCTGCCCTCTTGCACAAAGATTTTCTAAGTGGAATACAAACTTCTGATGTATCAATACAGTCCTAGGGCAGTGCCAGCAAAAGGAGCAGATATTATTTTTACGTAGGTGCTGCATAAACAGCAGCTGGATTTGGGAGGGGACAAATGGAATTTCTCAGAGGAAATAACCTCCTCCTCCTCCTGACCTTTTATAGCTGAGACTAAGCCCCACCACCCGGGAGCATTCCATGCTGTAATCATGTGGCACATCAACAATTACAAGGGGCATTATTTTCTTCAGAAGATATTTTGGGGCACTTTTTCATTCTCAAAATGGCAAGAGAAGCAGCAGACCTACCATCTTCATCAGGCAGCTCCTCAGGGCTGAGCTCCACCAGCTCAAAGCCATGCTTGATGCACCACTCTTGAGCTTTCTGTCTGTTTACACCTAAATTGGGAGACAAAAATGGGTATTAAAGGTGCAGATTTGAGACTGGTATCAGCATATTTATCAGAATATTTAGCTGTGTTTTATTCCCTCAAAGCAGTTTGTTTGTTCTGGAGTGTATGGGAAAGTGTATAGCAGCTGGCATGGATCCTACATTCACTGTGGATTCCAAAATTAGAGTTGCACTCCTCCTTGGAACTGAGGAACAGAACCAAATGGTTTTGCAGAGGGTACAATGTAAGTGTGAATGAAGACTTCTGTCAAGTCTGGGTTTGACACTGAATAAAGCTGCAGGGACACATCTGCACCTCCCAGTGCTGCTGTCTAGAACCACAGCAAACCTGTGTTCAATCTCCAAATGGAATTAAGCAACCAAGTCCTCCCCATTTTTCTGCACGGTCCAGCAGCAGGAATGGCTTTTAGTGCCCCTGCAGTGGCAGGACACAGAGCTGAGCAATCAGGTAAAATTCCGATTCAGTTTTAACCACATCCCACTGAAGGTTTCAGCTCCCAGAGTCACCTGGCTGTGCTCTATCAGGTCTCCAGGCCAGCCTCACCCAGACTCTGAGAAGCAATTGTTGATGTAATTAGAAAGTCAATTATTATGCAGGTTAATGGCTCTAAGTGAGGATGGGAGTTCTTTGGGTTTCCTACCGTTCTCAGACACTCTGTCACAAACCAGGATCATCACTTCTGGCAGCCACTCTTCTGTCAGGGGAAGCCATTCAGAGACCCCCTCCAGTCCAATTTTCTACAGGGGAAAAGAATTCTTTGAAATACATCTTACAATACTTTAGTTTTTAATGGTATTAAAATTGAATTATATCAAGAAATAGGCGCTTTTTTTTTTGTCTCAGCCTTTCTGGTTTCTGCTAAATCAGTTTTTACTGCTGCTGGTTTAGTAGAAGCAATTTTGGGTAAAATGTACTGAATTTTATGTCTAGCTCCCTAAATTTTGTCTGTCCTAAAGGAGCCTTTAAGAAGCAGCACCAGCTAGGAATAAAGCTGGAGATGCTGAGCTGGATTTGCCACAGTGGCATCCTGACTCCTTAAAACCCCTCTTCCAGCTGGAGGAGAGTAGTAAGAGAGAAAGAAACTGCTGCTATTGTTAGCAGGGAAATTTAATATTGAGTATTTAACACTGATCTTCTGCCAAGGAATAGAACAGCCCAAAGGGGATGGATGGAGAATCTGATTTATGGTTCTCTCTGTGATAAGGCAGCCACATGAGGGATGAAGCAGGAGGATGAAGCAGAAGAGCCTTACTGTTGTGCTGTCGAAGTACACAACAAATGCCTGCACAGCCTCGGCAATCTCTCCAGTCACGTGGAATGTGTTTGGGACCACACAGAGGTGGATATCTGCAGAATAATATTTGTTATCTATGGTCCAGGGGTAGAAATTCACTCTTCCACTTGTTATTGCACCCACAGTAAGGTCATCTTTTCCTGTGATACCTGCAGGAGAGAAAATGGATGAGGAGGAGGGTAAAACCAGCATCAAGAAAATAATTTGTCTAGAAAAGTACAGTGCTAATGCAGATCTGTCTTTACTATAATAAACCAGTATATAATCAAGATCTTTAAAAATTCAACTCCATTTGTTACTCTGTCCCAGATTTTACTGCTTAGCTTTCAAAAGAGTTTATTTTCTAATTTTCAGTATAAAATATGGCCCAGGAGTTGCAGAAAGCCTTTTGTTTTCCTGGAAATGCCTCTTCAAATGTTAACCTCAAATTTAGTACCTGCAAACAGGATGTATGGAGAGAAAACCTAAACTTTATTACAACCATGTATGCTCATTGAGATGTAAAGATCTGTTTAACTGTGACCAAAACCTGAAGGCAACTGATGAGAAAATAAACCCAGTTCCTACAATTCAGTTTAATTCCCATTAAATTCCATGTAGAAGCTCAACCATTAAAATCCAGTGCTTTGCTCAGGTGCTTCCAAAAGCCCTTCAAGGTAGGAACCTTCCCAGGAACACTCCTGGAGCTGAATTAGAGCTGGAAGCAGAGCATCCCATTATTCCTTGAGGGAAAGGCCAGGATATCTTGTTCAGGCTGGATGAACTCGTGGACACTTTGGAACACAGGTCAATTATTTATAAAATGGACTGAGTCATGCAGAGTTGCCTTGGGCAGAAGAAGAGTTAAAGGATAAAGTACATGGCTTTTCAAGGATTTGTATTTTAAGGTACTGAGAGAGAGTTCCTGGAGCTGCTGGAACAGGCTGTTCCCCAAATAGTCTGGAGATGAATTTGAATTTATCTGTATCTTATTAGTATAAAGACAGGAAAACCTCCTTGCCAAGGCTGCAGTGATTTTTACAACTAAACTGCTAAGCTGAGGAATAGATCTGGTGAATGAGCACAGGGCACAAGGCAGGGAGAGCTGTAAACCAGGATTATTTGCAGCCCTGAGGAGGAGATGGAATCTGGGGGAGAAATGTGACCTTGGAATCAGAAACCTGTAGCCATTTCCTACTTAAGAGGATGAAACAGGAGTCTCCTCTCTGGGTTTCTTAAAATAAGAAGTGCCACATCTAAATGATTTTTCCAGGCTCAAGTTTTATTTTATTTTGGATGGCAATTATTTTTCAGAGTAACTGGTCTTTAATCAGGTGATATTCCATGCTAAGATTACCCACCTCACTTTGGAGCTGGGGAACAATGATCCTGAGCCACCACCAAACCAACCTGGATTCTGAGCTTTGTATTCTCAGAGGTTTTATTTTGAATATGATATAAATTTCCCTTTACCCATGTTCTGACAGTTAAAAATAAGTAACTAAATTAAAATCAGTCTGAGCTAACAGAATTGCAAGTCAATGCCACAAGAGGCTAAGAATAAAAAGGTCCACAGAATTTACTGAAACACAGAAAATCAGCAGTAAGACTGAGGGAGGAAAATGGGGTGAGGAAGAAAATCAGCTCTAGTCACTTGAGTCAGTCACCCTAACAAGGATACAAAGGGAAAGAACTTTCATAAAAGGTTTTCAAAAGCTGATAGGAATTTCGCATTTGCTTTGTAAGGGATACATTTTTTTAGAAGAGTTCATGGACAAATTTAGGTCTCAAAGCACTGCTAAAATGAGGCTATGTCCCATTTCCTATTACCTGCTACTTGTTCCTGTATTTTAAAGGATTTTCTTTCATCCCATTGTGCTGCTGATTACCCATCCTTCATCCTGAGATTTTGCCAATTCCCTGTGAAACTTCTTTCCCAGTAAAAATGGATATTGCACAAAGGGTTTCAGGAACTCGGGGAAAGGATTCAGACTTGTGTCTCAGGCTGCTTGTGGGATTGTAAGAAATCGCTGCACAACAGCCTGATCACTCCTGGCAGGAAACTGAGCAGCTTGTCAGGAGTTCCCTCCAAGAAAAGTCACTTGGAACAATTAGATTTTGGTCTTTAAAGCAAACAAGCAGAGACTACAAAAGAAATATACACTGCAACTCAAACTGAGTTCTCATTTGATGCTGGAATTAGTTTTAAGGGCTGTATTTACCACACCAGCATTCCAGAAATTTCCTTCCAAGACAGCCTGGATTTTAATGAAAGCAGAAAATTCAGCCAGAATAGTTTGGTATGTAATTTAGAGAGTATTGATCAGAATAAACTCCTAGAAAATTAATATGGAAAAAGATGGCTTGTCCAACTAAGCCCTTATGACTCCTTTTTCATGTCAAACTGCTCAGCCATTGAAAGTGTCAGTGGTTTGCCATGCAAAGAGCCTGGAAAGCCACGTGAGTCACTGTGTGAGCACGGCAGGAGCCAGGTCCAGCAGCAGCAGCTCCACGGGTGACAGCAATGCCAAAAACACACCTGGAAAACTCCATAGCACTGACAGAGCTGCTTGGTGTCACCCAAACCAGCAGAGTTCAGGGTCCCCTGGGGAATCCTGTGCCTGCTGGACACTCTGGAATGAGGCTCCCAGTGTTAGCAGTGGCTGCAGACAGGCCGGGTTTGTGTCCCACACTGCATAAAAGCATTTGGAGCAGCACAAACTGCCTCATCACAGGGAATGATTTGAGGCCATTTTTGGCTGCTCTAGCATCATCCCTGGGTCATGACCTCCTGCAGCCTCCAAAGCCCTGTCCTGCACTAAGATCACCACATTTGCTGAATAATTCCCTTTCTCCAGTTTATCCCACAACTGATTTTGCTCTTTTTGTATCAGAAAACCATTAAAAAACAAACAGCAACTGACACACGAGATCAGTTCATGGCTCAGTCCAGTAACCGATCCTGGCTGGTGTCACACAGCTCCAGAACTTCCAAACTTCTCTGGAATCTCTCCAGAGGAAAAGGTTTCATCAAGCATCAGTCACTGGCTTATTTTTCAGCAAGTTCATCAGTTGTGTCCTTTCTTCACTCACAAGTAATTATAAATTTTAATAAAGCAGGCAATAGTTATGACCAATATTTTTGATATTTTCAGCTATTTACAAAAATGTTTGCTTCTTTTATTGACTTAATTGACTTTTAATTTCATATTTTATCATGCAGACAAGATTGATTTTGAACACAAGAGAGGACAAGGCAATATTATAAAATTGCACATCCCATTTTTAATGCTGAATCTTAGTAAGTCTTCTGAAAGTGCAAAAACATTTGAAAAAGGAGAGTTGAAGACCAGAAATAACTTTTCAGAAGACTTAAATAATCAGAGAACCACATGTAGCTCTCTTGCAATAATTGCCCTGTCCTTTAACACACAAGTGGTATTTAAGCAATTTTAGCACACTGCCTAATAATATTTTTTTTAATTATTACAACTTTTTTGTGTTTTTTTTCCCCAAAGGGATTAAGGTATTGACCACTCTTCCTGGTGTTTTTCAGATTGAATAGATATTTTAATAACATAATGCCCTAAATGCTCCCAAATCTCAGAGTTGTCAGGTACACGGAGTAGTTCTCACATTCTGGCCCTTGAGAGCCACCTGGTGGAATAAACCATAAAAAATACTCCTAAAATTACACCAAGGAGTAAAGAGAACCCAAATATGCTGGGGAGGGGGAGGAGGGGAGTGGTAAAAACCCAAAAACAGAAGGAAGAACAATCACATCAGACAGCATGAAAACTGAGCCAATCTTATTTGCTGTTTTGTGATAAATATATCACAATAATAACAGGCAGATCGATGTTGAGCACTTTAAACAGCTTTGTTTAGCCACAGTGTCCCATGAATTAAAGCATTCAGAAACCTGCAGAAATAAAATTATATCAGCAAATGTACCATCAGCTGCTTCTCATCCTCAAGCCATTTTACATTTAACAGGAGGAAAACCCTGGAAAAAGTCTTGGAATTGACCTGGAAAGTTCTGACAGGGTGTTTCACCAAATCCTTCCCACTGCTGCGCTGTCCCTGCCAGTGCGTCGTTGAACGTTTCACAATCTGCAGCATCTGATTTAATTTCACTTGTTATACAAAGCAGGGACATAAAATGCTGATGGTATTTATTTTATCAAATTATTTGATTTCTTTCAGGAGGATTTTAATGTAACCCAGTCAGAGGACACGCAGACAGGACTCCAGTTTTGGTACTGGGAGCAGTGGAAGCTGAAACATTTCAAAGTGAGTACTAGTTAAAAAAAAATTGAGTTTAAATTGTATGACTGTCAGATTCAATAGCTTTTTGCCCACCTACCTTTTCTACCTGCTTTGTTTCACTATACAAAATAATCAAAAGGGAAGCCTAGAGGAATTTTGAAAAAATCCGTCTAATTTGCTTATACCTTCCTCAAAAATAAGCTAATAATAATAATATTTTTTGGTGTGGAATCTTTAAATAATTCAGTGTCATGCAGCTGCTTTGATAGAGAAGCCTTTGACTGCAGATCTTGTACTGTGATTTTTGTTTCAAAATGTGCTTTGATGAGGTGGAGGGAGCCAGTTCCTGGGAGCAGCCTTATGCTTGGTGAGGTCCTAAGGAAGAATTGCTCAGAAAGAGATAAAAACAAATCCAGAGAAGGGATGAGGGAGTTAAGTTCTACATCTCAGTGAGCACAGCAAACTGTTCATGAATTCCCTAAAAACCAGGGCTGTCCTAACATGGGGAACTCACCAATATCTGAACAGCTTCTTCCTGGAATCCCCCGATTTTAAAACTACCAGAAATTCCACTACGGTTTCCTCCACTATCAGATCTTATTCTTGTGTTCCCCTTTTGAGCCATAAAAATGGCAAGTGGTTCCCAGGAAGACCACTTCCTACCGAATTAATTCCATGTATTCGGTACGAAGAGTAATCTGCAATTCTACCAGCTGCAGAACAGACAAATTTTTTAGCTTTTCCTTTTAGTCTCTCCGCATGGAGAAACCGGTGAATTATTTCCTTATAGCACTGAGGCTCCTGACACCCTCAGCAAGGGGTCGGGGACTGCGTGGCTGCCCTGGGAATGATCCCTGAGGGGGGAACAGCGACCTTGATGGGAAAAACGAGAACCTGAGGGGAGAGCCGAGATCCTGAGGGGAAAATCGGGATTCTGAGGGGAAAATCTAGACCCTAAGGGGATGGCAGCGACCCTGAGGGGAAAACTGGGATCGTGAGGGGACGGCAGCGACCATGAGGGGAAAACTGGGACCGTGAGGGGACGGCAGCGACCCTGAGAAGAAAACTGCGATCCTGAGGGGAAAAGAGCCCCCCTGAGGGCCGGGGCTGGAGGGAGCCGCTGTCAGCCCGATTCCCGGGGCGCAGGCAGGCCGCGGCCCCCGGTTCCGCCCGCCTGGACGCCGCGGCGGCCCCGACTCACGTTTGACGAGTTCCTCGGGCGCGAAGCCCGCGGCACAGCTGGTGAGCAGCGCCAGCGGCCGCGCTCCCGCCGCCATGGCGCCCGCGCCGCGCCCCTTCCGCCGCGCCGCTACCACCGCCCGCGGGGGGGGCGGCCGCGGGAGGAACCGGGCGGAACGCGGGCTCGGCCCCCGCTGGATGCGCCGTCCCCCCTCTGGCTGCGGGGCTGATGGTGCAGCCCGGCCGGCGCGTCCCGTTGCCGGGTGCGGCGGTGCCGCCATGGCCGCGGTCGGAGCCGGGCCGGCACGGGCTGGTGCTTTCGGACAGTGCCGGAACCGGCACCTCCCTTCCCAGACCGGCCTCTCCTGCCTCGGCAGAGCAGCCAGGACACCCCGGGTTATCCCTCAGCACCGCGGGTCAGCTCTCGGCTGAGGCGCGATTGTGCTGAGGGGACGGGGGATGCGCGGGGGTTCGGCCCTGCCTGAGGGGCAGCGGCTGGTGCGTGTCGGAACAGCGCTCGGACTGTGAATACTGCGGGTTTTGAGACCTCGGAGGTGCTTAGTTAACAAAAATACACGGTTTTGACATGCGCCGGTGTGTTCTCCTCACAGGCTGCCTGGAGTTTCTATCTCTCGTTAAAGGCTTTTGAGATCCCTGCCCTGTGAAAGCAGCTGTGCCACGAGTGTGAGATGTGTGAGGAAACATCACTTCTTTAAATCTCAATCCTGAAGTTTATTGTCACTGCTTCGTGAGGTTTGTTTTAAAATTGAGTTTTTCCAGCTTTTCTACACTCAATGACTTCAAGTCATTTGCTTTGTATTCTCTGATTTATAATAGTGCAGAAGTCGCATGGATATTTTTTTTCCTGTATTTAGGAATAATTTAATTTGAATTAAATCCTACCTAACCCCATGGGGTTTGGTTACAGGTATGATTTTTGTCCTAACTTGCTTTTTAGATTCAAGACCTTCAGAAGCTTAAAATGGAAAAAAACAACTTGAAAGGAAATGCAGAAGCCGTGGATATTTGTGACCTCAGAAAAGCAACTGAAAGGACTGAACTTGGGCTGAGAGTAAGTAAAATAGAGCAGATCCAGAAAATGATTCCGTTTTTTAAGTCTGTGTTAATAATTCACTTGGGCCTCTTATTTGTTGTCTTATAAGAGCCCTTTCCAATCAGCAGCTGATGAGATCAGACATTACAGTTCAGAATTATGGCTTCCTTTTTTGGGTCATCAGAATTAGCTGATCTTGTGCCCATAAGCCAAAATCAGATTTTAAGTCTGACAGAGGCACAAAGTTTATCAACTTTTCAGTCAAGCAAAGACCTGGAGTGCTTAATGAACCCAGTTAAATAAAATTAATATCCTTTATATCTTTGTAATAGGCTAAATATAATTTTTTCCCCTCTAACAGAAACACGCTGAAAATTATATAAATGTTGTAAATGGCCAAGAGTTAACTCTTTCTTCAGCTGGTAATAAAGAAGAAAATTCCAAAGAGCCCCCTAAGTGGTAAGTGAAACAGATATTTTATTGCAGCAAGACACAAAAACTGAGGTGACATAATCATGTCAAGCAAATGGGAGTATTGACCTAGAAAAAGTTAGTAATTTCCTATTAAAATCAAAGTGACTTTTGATTTTAAGTTTAAAAAGAAATAAAAATGTGAATGCAATTCTGAGTGGCTCCAGAAGTGCTCTGCTAACTCCTGTGATTTCACATTTGCTAAACACAAATTTTAATAAAAACACAGTCATTTGGATAGAGCTAGATGAAAGCAGAGTGGGTTTAATAGGTAAAATCCAAGTAATTTTTAGGAACTTCACTGCCAGTTTCTCTCTCAATCAGGAGTCTCCCTTTTGGTGCCTGTCAGAAGCAGCTGGTTTTGCCACGAGTTGAGCCCGTGACTGTCCAGAGGTGCAGCAAATCAGCCCCACGTGTGTGCCAGGGCTCTCAGGTCTGAAATCACACCCTGATTGTTCTGCCAGGGGCCACATTCCATGAGTGCTCCGTGCCTTGTGCATCCCATAATGCTCTGGCTGCCCACGGATTCAGGCTTTGATAACTCCCCACGACTGAAAGCGTTAAAAAATCCTCAGCAGAAGGAGCAGCTGAGGCAGGAACCTTCTCCCAGCCCAGGATTACATTTCATTTGGGAAAAGATTCCATCCATGCAGGTGTGGAATTGGCACTTCCCACTCCAAGCTGACAAAGCCACTTTTATCAGGTGTCTTTTTATTAATAATTCCAATTCTTGTTATCCTGTGTGGCACTTTTTCCCCATGCATTGATCACATCCCTGTCAGCCTGAGCGAGGAGTTTGCATTGGGAATCATCTCCTGTTTTAATTGAAAGGTGCTCAATTCCCCCCAATTCTATTTTTTTAATAGCACCAGCAGTTTCCTCCCTGCATTACGGTGTGTTATAGTAATAAAATAAATACCACAAAAGCACTGATGAGGTGAAAATTGAACTTTCTGTCTCTGTGCAGCCATGTGGGTAAAAGAGTAATTGGCTTGGATAATAACTTGTGTTCTTACAACCCCAAATCTAAATGAGCATCTCATTGATACATTTGCTTGTAATTACCATCAAAAGAAGAGAGAATATATAGTGCAGATAAATAAATTAAACCATTTTTAGTGCTTTCACAAATTGACACAGTTGTTCAATAGTTCAAGTGCACATCTAATGATTCTTGAACTTTTTGATAGCATATTTTATTTGTAAAAATTGGAATTTTCCTGGATTTATTTTTATGTTGATACAAAAGAATATGCACCAAAGTATTTTCAACTTAAACTTCTACTGTATTAAAAACATGGAGCATCCTTCTGGGTTTTACAGGTATGCTTTAGGTATTTCTTAGAACAAGAAGAAACTTGTAATTTTCTGTCCACTGGGATTTAAATCATCATGATTTTTATTAGCAGAATAGCTGAACTCATTCCATGCAGATCACAGAGCACATTAAGAACTATGTTTTAATTCTGATTACTATCAGGATTTTTTAATTCCTCATTTACTAATAATCAAGTGCTGTGCCTGCAGTGAGTGTTGTGGTCCATCAGGGCAGCGATTCCTGAATTCCAGACCCAGCCAGGATGGACTGGATCCGTGTTATCCTCTGTGAGGAGCGTGCAAACCACAACACAGAGCCAGGGAGTCAATCCTGACTGGGCTTCCCACTCCTAATTTAACCCAAAAGTGTGCAGGTGTGGAAATTGCAGAGCTGGGAAGTGAAGTAATTGAACAAAGTATGATAGAAGTGTCTGTGTGGATAATACTTCAAGTCCTTACAAAGTCTTCCATCTAAATAAAGGCACTTTTTTGGTTTGTCCAGTTCTGTGTGGAGTCAAATAATATTAATTTTTGTCATCATTTTGCAAATTTACAACATGTTAACCAGTTTCTGCCTCTAAACATTTCAGCCCTGGTGCAGTTATTTTAAGATTATCCCTATTGTATATTTCAGCAGCAGGTGGAAATGGATTTTAAAATTATGCTTGACCCTGAGAACACGGATAATAAAGCTGGTTTAAAACATCCCAATGATGAGACCAGACTGCCACTTATAACTAAGAAAAAATCTGCTCCTGTAAGTAACTTTTATTATTTTCTGGGTATATTATATGCATTTTTTTACACTATTACAGTTAATACTTATCAGTCCTAAATAAAATATTGACATGAAAGTAATTTCCTCAAAATTTCCTGCTTTTTGACATGGGTATTTAAAGATCAAAACTATTTCAGTGGTAATACTGGGGAAAAGAAATCTGAAATGTAACAGGTTTATGTCCCAAGATCCCAATCCAGCAAAAATATGAATATACATGGGATGTGCATGGTCAGTAATCTCAGGAAAATCAGGCAGAGTAGATAAACTGGAGTTTAGGGATTTCTGACCCAAAAATGCAGGAAGAATTAAAAGCCCATTCTTCTCTCTGCTCTGGGAATGTTCAAATCGTGCAAAATGAAGTTTTGGTTTTTCCAAATTTCCCTCCTGCAACTGCAAATTTCGGTTCTGCTGCCAATTCTGAAGCTGAATGTAAAGATGGTATTTTTAGCAAAGAATGCTTTCAAAAAAAAAAAAAAGAGTAGGCACAGCCATCCTTCCAAAAAATCAATTACGTTCACAAATTTAGCACAGCACTGTGGTCCACACAGCCAATGGCCTCACATGGGGATGCTCTTCTACAATTTAATTTATGTGACAGAAACATCCTGCAGCAAGCTCGGTGCTCTAGGAGAGATTCTGGGGTGTTTGGTTTTAAACAACATAAAGAGAATCTGTGAATGGCACAGTTGTGAGCTGCCACTTATAAAAAATGATTTTTGGAAAGCTGTTGCCCAGACTAAGAGGTGATTTGTCTAACCCTGTGATAATAGAGTTAATTAGAAAAAAGCATCATGGCTAATAGCTTTTTAGAACCACTTTAAAACACTCACAGAGAGGAATATTATCCGACTGCAGAGAGCCATGTGTTTTACCACTCTCCCTGAAACATGCACTGAGCACAGAAAACTTCCTTAAATTACAATCATTTAATGTGAATTACTCAGGCTCCCAGATACATATTTACAGTTTCTGTGGAGCTGACAGGCTGAAAAACCAAGCAGGTATTTCCTCTCTTATTTATTCTCTTCAGAGTTTTCGAATCTTAGGACACAACGTATGGTTTGGGATGTTCTACCTTCACTGGCTGTAAAATTTTTGCAGGTGGTATTTGCAAAATCCACTGCTGAGACGCGTTTGTTGTTAAAGGTGGCGTCTACCAGTAGCTAAAGGAGGGATTTTATATGATCTATATGATTATACGTGATATATATGATTATTCGCAGTACCGCCAATGAATCTGTGCGCAGCTGCGGGTCTAAAATGACGTTAATTCGGATAAAATTTAGATTAAAGTCGCTGAGGTAATGGGCGAGCGGCCGGCAGGGGGCGCTGTCCGTACGCGCACGTCCCTCAGGCCTCCGCGGGGTCAAGGAGCGGCTCCCCACAAAAAAATCCCTGGAAAAATCCCCTTTCACCCAAGTAAATTAAAAACTAATTGCTTGTCTCACGCCATTCAGGCGTATTCCAGGAGTTTTCGACGAGGGCTGA